AGCGCAGCCCAAGCGCAGTCGCTGCTTACTGCGCAGTCAGCAGAGCGCGTTTCAACACGTGCGTGTGTATGTATGTGTGCCTAAACGAAGTGTAGAGAGAGTATTATATCAGATTGGAGGGTTCAGGGTATCTCCTAGTCGAGCAGTCTCGACTAAAGTTTTCTTACTTGTTATTAGTTTGGTTGTTCTTGCATATTCTTAAAGTCACAGCAGCAGTTAGTTTGGCTTAGATTTGGTAGATGGCGCTGCAGCAGTGAGTCTATTTCGGTTTTGACATTGCAAATCAGAACAGAGGGGTGGCGCCATGGTAGAAGGCGCGGCGCTCGATCGCGAGGTCTCGGGTTCAAACCTAGGACGCATCGTAGTTTTTTTTAATTGTTTCCAAATTTTTATATATTTAATTAAATTAAATTAGTTTGGTTCAGGGTAGTATCTAGTCGAGCGCTCTCGACTAGAGCTTTCTTACTTGTTTGTTTATAGCCTTATTGGCTTCATTTTTGACTTTGCGTCTCCGTAGAATCGCTATTTCAAATTCGAGCTCATCTTATGTAATTCTAGAACTGTCGGCCCTGCAAAAGGAGACATTAAAATGGTTGTTCAGGAAAGTATGCTTGGAATGAGCGAATTTGATATTGCTAAGCCCAAGTCAATTTTGCTTGTTGGACCAGTCAACAGCGGCAAAAAACTGCTCTGCAATATAATTGCATCTGAGTTGGGTATGATCACTTGATTATAGACAATATTATCTTATTTAATGTATATAATATATATACAGATGCTGTTTTTATAAATCTCAGCCCGGAAAAGGTTTGCAATTTCTCTCAAGATATGGACATGTTTTTACATATTGTCATGAAAGTAGCCCGGGAATTTCAGCCAACAATATTATATATTGAAGAAGCTCATCGCGTATTTCATAAAAAGATTCCACCTGAGGAAAAAGATATATTGCCAACACTACTGGCTCCGTATATCCAGAAGAAAATCTTAAAGCCAATTAAAAAGTCAGATAAAATAGTACTTCTCGGTACAACAAGTTTACCTTGGATGGCTAAACCGCTCCTTAAGAGAAATTTCCAAAAAATCTTACTTATTCCGAAATGCGACTATGGTACATGCTTTTTACTTTGGCTAGATTTAATGACCGAAAATGCTCCAGAAGCTTTAGAGAATTACGCATATTCTGCCTTGGCAAAAATTATGAAAGCTTATAACTCTGGCGATTTAGCAAACAGCGTAGCTAATACATTGAGTGTGTCCCGGAAAATGCGTCTTAAGGCTGAAGCATTAGATCCAATGGAGTTCTTGGAATATTTCTTAACGGAAATGGATCCTCCACTTTTCCCACCAGAAGATAAGGTATGCAAAAAATTTTTTAAAAACAGTACCTATTTAAACATGATTAGCATAAAACTATTTAAATAAAAGGAAAGAAAACTTAAGTCAGAATTACATATACGATTCTTTGAACTAATTAAACCCCTTAACACAAAATTTTAAATGAATACAAGGTCTTAAAATAATAAAAATTATCTTCATAATTAACGATTAAAAAAATGTCCTGCTTGATATAGATATATGATATACGATTATGAAATTATTATGAAATAAAACTCCTTTGGATCCCGATCCACTGCAACATAAAAGGCAACGAACTTGCTGACCAAATCGCCAAATCCACAATTAATTCCCCACTCCATTACACTCCCAACTTCAACTCCACAGATGTAAATAAATTTCTAAAAAATAACTTAACTCATAAATAATATAGACCACAGCAACACATGGTACCAACAATTAAACAGCAACCTTTCACACACAGAACACTACCTAAAAAATTTAAACCAAAAAGATATAACACAAAAATTCTAAGGCGCAGATTAGGACACACAATATTCACCCAACAACACTACATCAACCCTGACGATATAACACTTTGTCCAAACTGCAATTCAACATCCGACCTAAACATAGAACACATACTAAAAAAATGCACTGCAACATCCCATGTAAGAAAAGAAATCTTCAAAAACGTATGCCCCTTAAAAATGTTATCAAACCCAAAATCAACCAACATTCCCCAAATAATAAAATACCTAAAGAAATCAAACCTCTACCACATCCTAAAAACCTCTAAAACCCATTATAACATTTTTTAACATAAGTAAAATATGTAAATATGTTAAAAAATGTTAAAATATTCTTAATCTTTAAAAATTAAGTTAGTTTTAATTTTAATTAACTCTAACTCTAAGATAAATAAATAAATAAATGATTGTTTTTTAATTTATGCTTTTTTTTAGCTAATGGACAAATTCAACAAATGGTTTGGTGCCTCTAACAAATTTGAAAAGATGAGAAACGCTGCCATGGCTGCCAAAATGGCTAAACAAAAAAAGAAATAGTCGATTATTAAATTATGGCATTATTATAAATCAGTGTGTGCAAAGACTCCCCTTTAATAATATCGTAAATAAATCATATATTCTTGTATTGTGTAGATTATGTTGTTAAATTTTTTATAAGGCTATACATAATTTAGTGTTATTATCCCGTTCTCATACACAAGACAAATTTTCGTATATTAAGCATACTGCAGCTCAAATGCAGAATAGAATATTATAGTTTCTTGTTAAAATGATATGACTTTTATTTATCAAACATTTACATCGATATTATTCTAGCAGTTGATTTTTTTCCTTTTGAATATGTTTTTGGCTATTTATTAGCTAGGGTTAGTAAATTTTGTTTGTTTTATGTGTCTTAATTAGTTATTTATATAAACTAAAAATAAAATTTAATTACCTAAATACTAATAAGTTAGTGCTTAACATATTTTTGTATGTGTATTGATCGTTTGTCATATTCAATTACAGTTATTCGGTTAATTCTAATCAAACTAGTTTTATCAAAATTTTATAAACAGACGGACATTTAAAAGCTAGCAAGCTAATGGTTTACTTACATATATAATATATCCCATTACAATATTCAAATTTTATTTACTGCATAGCTTACACTAAGACTATAGTTAAACAGAAGTAACCAATACCATGGAAATTATCAAGATCGTATCTGTGGTTAGATTATCTGATAACATATGTTTCTTTTTTCTACACCAATGATCAATGCTTTAGGATTAAGCTTATATCTTTATTTACCCAACTATCTTAGAGATTATTAAAATGGTATTCAAATATGTTATTTAGAAAGATTTTACAAGTAGCGTTGCTTTTATACATATTGCCTCATAGGTTTCAAATTTTATCGTTCATTTATTAAATGTTTATCGTTCACTGAATTGTAGGTTAAAACAGGAATACTGTTTATGTTTATCTTACTTTATTTTCACATTTCCTTTACTTTTTCTTTTGTTTTGATGGTGTTTACCAAATATGTTTATATAATTTGAGCGTTAAAGAATGGAAAACAAAAATAATTGAACAGAATTTAAAAAATCAAATAGATTTAAGCAAAGTGGATTAACAAAAAGCCCAGAAAGTATTATCCAAATCCTACAAAAGCATGTTTAAATACATACATATGCTCTTAGATTATTTTAAACAAAACTTTAATTTCTGCCGCTTTATAAAAAGAAAGATACAATATTAAAATAATTACCAAACATCCATAAACTCTAAATTAACCTCACCTGATTCTATACGATATATATGTACATATATATCAGCCCAAAAGCTATGTACGTATAAAGATGTTTATTTTCTTTTTGTTTTAGCCAAAAACATTTCTTTTTTATATAATTTTTTTTGCGTGTCGCTAAATAATACCTACTGTATTCCTGATATTTATTTTTTGTAAAAATATTATTAATGAAAAGCCTAATTATAAAACGTTCTTGAAAATTTTAAGCTAATTTAAAAATTTAACTCCGCTCCAATTTCTTAATGGGATACATTTTGTTTGCATAGATCAATTATCTACATAAGGCAGCTAGAAAACGTCATAAGTTCTTAAAAATATTTGTATATGTATGTATATATACATTAGAGACATTGCACAAATGTTTATTACCTTCTTGTTCAGTTCATGGACCTCAGCTGATCTAACGATATTCAAACAAGGCTTAAAAACCAAATTAATATCCATTCTGTAGCTTTTGTGGTTAACACGGACCCACAGATACCAAGACGGACGGATGGACAGATGGATATAGCTAGATTGACTCAGCTAATAATCCTGATTAAAATACATACATTTATTAAATATTCTCCACAATATAATAATAACAAATCAGAACAAACATATACTATGAATATTATCATTATTATAATATAACCAATATTGGTACGGTGGATTTAGAAATTAAAAAAAAAAAAAAGAAAACTCTAGTCGAGACTGCTCGACTGATATCCCCTGAACCCTTCGAGCAACTGATATTTCAATATTTCACGCACACACGCATAGAAACAAACACAAGCACATACACACTCACGCACATATACAGGCGATTGCGCTTAGGTTGCTCTGCAGTGATGGCAATATATTGAGAACTTATTTGTTGAATAATTTAAGACGTACGATATTAAAGAAACTTTCCAGAAACTTTCAGGAACTTTCATATTGCTTAAATGGAATATACACTTCCGAAGCACAAGTCCTTAGTATTTGAAGTACGCCTTTTACAAATATGAGGGTAAGGGGTTGGATATAAGGGTGGGGGTAAAACAAAACCCGAAATTATATAAAATTCACATAAGTCTACATATAAAATTTGGAAGCTCTAGCTCTAAAAGTAAGAGCGATATAATTAAATAACTGTTTTTCGACAAGGATCTTAATCGATAATAAAATATTGGGAGTAGTTATCAATTTTAAGGGATTAGGAAAAAAATTTGAAATATCTAGCTCTTATATCTTCTGAGATCGACGCGTTCATACATACTGACGGACGGACAGACGGACAGGGTCAAATCGGTTCAGATCGTCGCCCTGATCAAGAAAATATATACTTTATGGGGTCTGCCACGCCTCCTTCTGCCTGTTACATACATTTCACCAAAACCATAATAGCCTGATTTTCCATTTTCAATGGGTTCAGGGTTCACAATATCAGTACACTCAATGCCAATGGTAAACTTCAGGGTATAAGTTCACATGTGTGAATGAGACAGCTTAAAATACTAATAAGACTAAAATATTTTTTATTTGAATTTTCTTGCTTATTATTAAATCTGAGCTGATTAAATGATTTGAATTTCTGATGCTTTGATTGAGATTTTCATTGTCGGAATGGATCATCTTAGGGGCGAGCGCTTATTTCTTGATATATTATTACATATTAAAAACAGTGAATACTGTAGTAAGTCCTATATTTTTTAATTAATGTCTTTCGGACTCATTAAGATCTATCCCATATATAATTTAACAATTAACTTTGCTAATTAAATTATTTAATTCTTATATTGTATTGGTTTTTATATATGATATCGTCAAGTATTTAATGATGATCTAACTGTACTAGAGCACCTTATAGCTTACATTTAAATTATATTATATATACAAGTATATTTTTAATTCCAATATACAAATAACATATTTTGGTGCTGACACATTTATGTAAGCCCAGTAGATGCATACAATACCTGAATATAAAATCATTTTAATAGTGGTTAAGGAATGATTTGTTTAATATACATGTCTCGAAATTGAATACTTTATAATGAAATAGACTCTTTAAATTATATGTATACATCTCGGACACCTACTTTTTTTTTTTTTTTTTTTTTTTTTTTTTTTTTTTTTTTTTTTTTTTTTTGTCGCAGTGTATTAGCGGAATGAATGAGTTCATGAATTTTTAATTCTTCTCAAGTTCAAAATATAAAATCTTCAAATTGGGAAATTATTAAATCGAGCAAATATACCATCCGCTATGTGAGACTATAAATGAATGTTTAATATTTGTGGATATACCACATAATAAAACTAAGCATTTCAAATTTTTTGTATATTATTCCGTATCCTCGTTATTTTAATCGACATACCTATATATATATACCAGTGGGATGAATATACTCGCTCACAAAGGGAAATTTTTACATTTTCTTTTACTTAAATATTTTACTGAACGAGTGAAAGCCATTTCGATAGAAGTTTTACTCAAGTTTACTGCATTTTTTTGGATGGTGAACGAATTTGACAAAGTCGATAGAGACCGACTTCAATATTCTTACATTTATCATTTATTATGGATTATATTATTGCATTTTTATTTAACGTATGTTATTCCATTCCGAAAATTCAATAACATTGTAATACTTATGCTTTCTTATTTGAAACATACTGGAAATATACATATATTAACAAAAAATATAATGATTAAATAATGTCAAGTATTAATAACAGAATAGGAATCTAAATATATATTTACATAAGCTCAAACTCAATTTTGTTTTCAATATATATTTGACTTGGTAAAAGATCTAAACTATAATATTTAATTTACTGCGAATTAAGTGTGTTTCTGTTCTCTTATCTCAACTTAAACTTTTAATATCTACTAAATATTATAAATATGTACATATTCTAAATACATAGTAAGGCACCTTTGAACTTAGATTTGCAAATTATTAAATATTTTTAAATAATAATCTTGGTCGACAAAATAAAAAAAACATATGGTAAAATTATAACATCCATTGCGATTGCTAATCGATTGCAACTTGAAATGCCCATTTTATATTCCATATCTATGTCCAGGAGAAGATCATGATTGCGTGTATAGAACTGATGAATATCACTGATCTAAAATATATAAATAATTAAACACTTTATTAATTTGAAAATACTTTAGCTATTTCTATAATTCGGTCCACTCATAATATATATTTTTATTTTTATTAAGAAATAAAACGTAAATCCAAACCTCATTCCATCCGTATTTGTTTTTAGCTTGCACTATAGCTTCATAGACAGCATTATGTTCCAGGTTCCGTATGACGTATGACATTAAATAATGTGTACCGTCTGTCCGAATCGGAATAGGTTTTATATGATATTCGTGCCATTTACCGGGATGCTGGTAGGTTTCGTTCATCTAAAAATTGTTTAAAAGTTTGATTAGAAACACATGTTTGTCAATAATTATTTTTTCTTTTATTACTTACCAGCAGCCGTCGGTATAATAACTTAATTTCTTCTAGAGGGGGTATCGACTCTATTGTCCAAGTTAAGTTGTAATGATCTAAAAAGCCACTCAAGGCTGGTGAAATAAAATCAGCTGGACCTGGTCTTCCAGAAACCTCAATGTATTTCTTTGTACGTCCCAGCGCATTGTCAGCAACACAACTATAGTTTCCAAAATCAGTTTGTTGGAAATTTCGAATAATAAGACTGTATCTATCATCATGAGGATACATAGAACGTCGATCAGTTGGATCTAGTAGGAATGAGTT